GTACCTGTGACCGAAAAGACTACGGCAAAACATTTCAAAGTGAAATACTAAAAGTTTTTATAATTTGACTTTAGGATTAATCTTTAAAGGTTTTATGCTCATTTTACATAGTAACTATTGTAAAAGTTTTACCTAGATTTATTAAGTCCCTTGTATTGTTTATTTTTAAAATATAACATCATATTTTATATATTCAACTACGCGTCATTATTTTTTGTTCATATTTTGTCTTTTTTATATTCAGCTTATATCAATAATATAATTAGACAGAAAAAAGAAGATACGTAATTGGAGAGTTTACAGTCCTAAAAAGCCTATAAATTAAGATTAGAATCCGTGAGTTTGGTCAAGCCAAGCCAAGACGGCTACCAAAATAAAGAAAATTGATATACCGAGGCTTTCAGCCTATATTAATTTTGAGAACGTTTCTTTTTTTGTTGTTTTACTGTGAAAATAAGCCATATAAATATTTTTAAAATCACTTTCACAGAAAGCTTTCATACAATATTTATAACAACGAAATGCATGGCACGGCATGGCATTCTGGTTTTACGATGTGATATAGTTGGTGACTAGTCGCACAGCTGAAATCGACCCATGTAAATTCGGTAAAATACAGATACCGGGAGAGACTGAATAAAATAAAGCGAGCCTGCCAAGATCCAAGTCTTAGGGTTCCGTAATGTTTTTAACTTCTTATTAGACATATTTTATATGAAAAACTTACGATATATTATTCAAAAGAGTTTCGTTAACCGAATAAGAATAATTAACTCATAATACCAAGTAGAATTAGGAAAATTTTGAATTTTTCAATAACCAGTAAATGTCTGCTAAATCCTCCAATGATGTGCTCAAAAATCTATTCGATAGTAATCTTATATTTCCAATAGAATATTTATCTTCATTACCATAATGCTTAAATCAGTTTATCTAGTTAACTTATTTTTTTTTTTGTAAATAACGATCGCGGTGAGATTCTTACATTGATGCCTTGCAAGTAAGCTTAGAGTACCGCGGTATAAGCAGTTTGACAAATATTGAAACAGTAAGATAGATCTTTTTTCTGTTGAGCCCATTACAGTTTTTTATTAAGCTCAGTTCGCAACATTTACAACATAAAGCCGAGATATTACTTTAGATATAAGTTCAAAGAAATTAATATCATATCATAGACTAGTTGCATCTGTGATAACGGCAATCTAGGGACAACGGCAGATCATTAAAATCTTATTACGATTAATGTCAAGTTCAGAATCAATTTCAAAAACTGATTAATATCTGAGACAAAGTTCATAAAATATAAAAACTTTTTCCTCCATTTTTCCATTGATTAAATGACAGAAATAAATATAAGCTTGTTTTACCCATTTCAAAAGTAAAAGTCTTTTTATTGGGAAGGATATATATTCACTTTGATTATAGATAGGCATACAATCAAAGCTATCAAAGTTTAGACAGGTATATCATCATCATAGTTTAAGAGTTTATGTCTTGACTGTGTAGTCATTTCTATCGTTCCCTATTTTACCCAATCAACTTCTTGGTAGGCTATATCATAAATTATCACAAAATATTATTAAATCTTAATTTGTTTAGATTTAAATTCACAGTCAAATGAACTCTCACGAGTAAAGGTTATTACAAAGTAGAAGATCATTTGAAAGAGTGAAGAGCATGAGAGAATTTACGGTAAAAACCATTACAAGTTCAAGATAAGTTCATTTTTCTGTTTTTGTTATCAGCCAAATGACGTCTTGTACACGGCATAGGTAAAATATGTCGAATGATTAAAAAATGATTTCAATTGGATTATTAAAATAAAAAAAATCGATTGCATACTCTACATTATTTTGTTCTGGATAAGATATAGCAAACTGTGTTTTTTGCATTGACCTAACTAGAATTAAAGATGCATCCGCCAAATTAAGATTTTTTTTAAATATAATCTAGTGTCACCCTTGATGATGTAAGTTTTCTAATGATACCCTATACATTAATATCCATTAAGTCTTTTAAAAGTTATGGTGGAGAAACAAACTCACACTCCTTTTTTGGACAATACCTAGTGCTAACATAGTACCACGATCGGTTTTGGACTGGGATTCAACGTGAAACTAGCTATGTAACTGACGCTTCACACTGGTATTTTATCTATCCACGGAGGTTGTCATATAAAACACCTTTTACCAAACTCGTTTTTCTATACTTTTAGAGGAACCCACATTTTATGTGACCCGATACAGTCTTGGCTGGCTTGATTTATGTTCATGACGAAAATTGCCTCTCATTTTCGTTGTATATTTTGTTGTGTGTTGAGTTTCTAACACTACTCAAGTTGGATGAAACATAAATTAAACATGAAGGTGTGTAAGATGAAATAGGCAACCGAATTGGAATCTTATTTGTTTACATTAACTTCTAAGTCAAATAGGCACTTAACCTTACTTCAAATCCATACGGATTTCATCCATATGGATCATTCATTTACCTTTAACGGTTAAAAGAACTATTAAGAAACAGTTTATATGTCATAATATTGATTGTCTGCTCGATGCTGAATATTGGATAGGTGATCCTGTTTATACCTTTCTGCTTTGGATGACCTGACAATCACAACTACACCCGAAGTCGACGATACTTTCTACATTATAGTTACAATTTAAAAACCACTCGTAAAATGATAAGGTCGTTAACCTATGAAATATAAAATATTACTAGACAAAATAATTTTTACTAAAATGATTATGAGGAAAGATTTGAATGCTTGTTTGCATTAAATAGTTTCGTAAACTACTGGACCTATAAAAAATTTATTCACTTAGTGAATCCACTTCCTACGCGGGTAGACCACAATTTATGATTTACGCGGGAATAACGTGATGGATAAATAATAAGGACTAGATACACCAAACATATTAAACGCGTACAAAAGCTGAAGCGCAGTCTGTTATCTTTTTATTACTTAACGTCGAGAACAGCGCTGTTATTGAGATTTCATGAAATAAGACCTTCTTCAACAAGTAATAAAAGTTTGATTTCATTGAAGCTCTATTCAATTTCTACGTTGTGTTCGATGTCAATTTCAAGACTTTTTTTAAATAAAAGGTTTATTTTCATATTGTAACATATCAAATTGATTTCCACGGCAAATTTTACTAATACGAATATTTCCAACAACGCCGAAAGTTTATAACATTAATTTGAAACTTTTCTCAACATCATCATATCGAAAGACGAGGGCGCTGCGCGAACCAAGAAGTATTTCGTAACTTTTATTTCACTATACATTACCACAGCATTTAATCCTCGTGAGAAAATAAGTTACGGCCCAGCTATTCGGACGCTCTCGTTCAATATTTTAAAAGTGATTTCAAATATCGTAAAAATACTAAGAAGTTCGATGGTAACTTTTTAAAAGGCGCTCGGCTCTTATTTTTTTCCTAACAAACCCAATACCCGAAAAGTTGGATAGTTTTACATCAGGGACCCTTCGATAAAGTGTCATAATTTGGATAAAATATTGTTTTTGAACAGTGTTTCGTTGCCAAGTGGTTTATAATTATGGTTCAAAAGTTTTTTTTTTATTCTTGCCTGGCGGTCAAAATTCGACTATAAACTTTAAATATTATTAGGCCTTTAAAGGCCTTTAATCTTATTACCAAAGACAAAAGTATCAAACGTATGGCAGTGTCCTTTAAATTTTTATGTGTGTCTAATATTTTCTTTATTAATGTTTAAAAATATCAGATTAATAAAGAAAAGACCTAATAATATCTAAGGTCTAACGTTTATACTTCACATGTCTATACTATTATTATAAAGTTTATAACTTTGTCTTTTTGTGGGAGCTCTTCGGAAATACTGACCTTTCACCTACGGTAAGCTAAATCATAGGTTATAATTTACGCAAGTGGAGTCGAAAAACATCAAGTTAAATAAATAATATATACGAATACATAATTAATAAATAATATAAATTAGACGTCACATTTCTATTAAATTATCCGGCTAAAGATCTTGTGTTACGGGAATCTAAAACAACGTACCTTACAGATGTTTGTTAAACACAGTGTGAGGCACTTTATCACAGATATGGTATGCATATTAAGATATCATTTATTTTAAATAAGCTTATTAGTTTTGTGAAGGCAAATTGTAAACGGAAACGTCCCGTTAAGCAAATAAGCTTTTCATGTATACTAACAATTTATCAAAATGTCGGTTATTATTTACTGACATGTCATCGAGTTGGTAATATATGGACGTATTTAATGTTTTGTTTTGAAACAAACGATTGATTAAATACCGTTTCATTTATTAAATAATAAATAGGAAAGAGAATTTTATCGATAATATAAATAACACCGTATTTATTAAAGGCAATAGGATTTTTTTTAGTATTATTACCCACAGATCGTTAAGAGAACAAAAATAATGTAATATTCACAATCGAGTCCAGTATTCAACGTATGAAGCGAGGCTAAATGAGTGCCAACTGGTGAAACTTTTCTCTTTGCGAGAAAGTTTGTGATGTGAACAGAAACCCGGGCGGCTCCCTTGGGACGTCGCGCATGCATGTTTAATGGCGTCCTAGAAAGGTCAAGAGTCTCACTGTGGAGGTAGTGAATACATTACTACATCCCAAAATGGGTGTGCGGGTAGATCGCCTTGCAATAACAGCCTCTTTTCCAACTTTGAGAAACTAACACGCGGACAGGTAGTTTGTAGCTGTCTCTCAAACAAATTAATTGTGTCTTAGTTTTGAGTCGTAACGAGGGAACTCAAACAAACTTTTGAGGAAGGTACACGAATGCCTCCCCGTCTTCAAATGTTATGGCGTGAATTCGCAAAATTACACTGACAGCTGACGCGACAGGCATTCGTTAATTGGTAAATACCCAAGACTTCTCGGAAAGTATGTTTAACTTGTAACAAAATGTAGCAATTTGTATACGTAGTGAATTTTTTTTGATGAGGCTTATTCTATAATTTAATGATTAAGAAAATTTACCTTTTGGTGGGTTGATGTGAAGTGCACTTCTAAACAAACTTTCTTCATCACGCCAGTCGAGGTTCCGGCGCATAGTGTGACTGCACATCGAAGATAAGACGATCAATAAAGTGAACATGAACACTCGACTTCTTGTCTCGTTTCGATGGCAACCTCGCGTCACGAATCCAGCTCCCAAGCCGAGCAATAAACAGAAACCAACGCTCGGTATGTAAAGCACTCGTTCCGCCACCACAAAACCAACATAAAATAGAACATTAGTAGCAGGCACAAACGGTAACACCATAAATGCCAGGAACATCAGTAAAGCAACCTGGGGGCTACGGTAAACGTTCCTTTGTGTGTTAGGTGCCTTAGATTTAGTGGTCGCCATCGGGCAGACACAGCTTGAATTGTGCATCATCGTATTATTATTGTTCATTGCTCGGCAAGCACTTGTGTGTTCCTCGGTAAGGGAGTGCCTACAGCCTGTGCATGGGCACAAGATCTTCTTAGACGACACATTCTCTTTGTGTGGTGTATAATAACTTTTTCTTTCAACGCAATCTGGCCCCCTATTGTATTGTTTTGTATTGTAAGTCCATTTGTGTCTGGCTTTGCAGTTTTGTTTCTTGTAATATTTTACGTCTTTTGCGGCTCTCTCGTGGCGTTTTCTCAATTCATTTTTGATTGCTCGCAGTGTTACTTTAGATATGACGGCGTAAAAAATAACTGTGGATATGTTTCTGGGGTCAGATATGGTTGTGATTCTGGGTATTGATTCCATAGACCAATCGAAGCTTAAATGGAAAGGGTATAAAAGTAGGAAGAAGTTGAATACAGGCAAGTAGGAGAATGTATAAAATCTGGTGAGGATAGAAGGATCCCGGGAAGCAGGATTGTCCGCCGCAGCGAAGGCTGTGGGAGACCCTGCTACTCGTAGTCTCCAATAAAGTAGAGCAAAGCCGCCTGTTCCAAGCGCACATATACTCCTCCAGCGACTCTGTGAACAAATAAAAACACATTATAGAAGATATTCTAAGCAGTTTAGATTAAACAATTTATCAAGAAATAAGAGTTCAACATAAATATTTCTTAAACTCTTTGCACAAATTATTGCGGTGGACAAAGAAATTATCCTATATTGGTTTTATTTTTGTATCGTGAAACAGCCAATCAACTGGATAAAATTTAATATATTTTCAATTGTTAACTGTGGATCATATCTCTGTGGGTATTTTTCAAAGAATCTTCCTAACTTCACAATGATTGATTACCTTGTGGGAAATATATCATTAATATCTGTCAAAGAATTTGCCGCTATATTTCAATTTTTTATGGATTATAATTATTATAACATGTACGCAATGTTTATGGTTTAATACAGATTCAATAAATTGAATTTTTATTAATATGTTCTGTATCAAAATTATAATAAATTATTTTTTCAATATTATAACTTAAACTTATTTTAGTATTGCAGTTTGTAGTAATAAAATAATCTACACTATAAATTATTTAATGACTTTAATGTACCTTGCGGCTTACGACACATTTGCAGAATGGGAATTCAATTAATATCGGACACATTAATATATTCTACATTTGTGTGTAACCCAAGACCCTTTTCGACGGATAGATGTACCAAATAGCCCATTCCGGTTTAACCTAGCGCTAATTTTAATCCTATGCTGAGGTAACTCGATAAAATTGATTTATAACGGAGTAACTCGCAAGACGTCCCTTTAGATTATTAAATTACCTACTGGCGCCGAGCAACCCTCTTTCAGCATATGATTAATATGGTAATACTATCGGTTAGGTATTTTAATCTACTTAAAGTGGTGTTATTATGAAAGTTTTCGGAGGTTATTTACTGGTGGGCTGCGGAGTTGAGAGTGAGGCTTGTTAGTTGCGGGAAGAGCGAGGAAAAGATTTATTAAGGTAAACCCCGTCCCCTGCCCGTCTAGTTCAGGGGATGCCGTGAGCAGAACTAACGACGCCGTTTCGGATTTCTAGCACAATTTACAAGACGCCAAGTTATATATAACAGAAATCACGGAAAACTTAAACGAGAGTTGGATTAATCAATCGAAAAGTGGATAGGTAACTGAATAATACAGTTTTTCGCACGTCGTTGCTTGCCGATCGATCTGATACCTTCGCAACCGTCGATAATTCAGACCCGATGGTTCGCCTATAAAATGGTATTAATATAGCTCGTGTGGGTTGAATACGAATGTCATTTGGCGTACCTATAGGATAATACTGTTTAAAATCACACAGTATTTAAAGCATATTTATTCTTATGATATTAAGCAATTTGATTTTGAATAAATTTGAATCGTATTGTATCTTGTAAAATAGGCAAACCAACGACTTGAAAGTAATCTATTATTCGTTTTACGTATTCTACAATCTGAAAAATTATTAGAAAAATATAATTCTCTAAGGGACTAAAAATCGACGGTTGCGTTTTTTGAGGGCGTACAATCTTTTTATTTTGTAAAAAAGCCTGTTACAATGTTATCCCGAAGTTGTTATTTTATAAAGTTCAATACATGTATTTTATGGAGATATAAATCATTTTGTACCTTCATATACCCGTGTAATATAAATATCAGTAATTCCTTATCATCACGATTGTCATACAGAATAGAATCTTAATTCAAAACTAGCGGTAGTTACTGCATAAAGCGTTTGAACTGAACATTCAAGAGATTCTGGTGACCTTTTCCTCGCGTACTGTTGATCTGTTTTGCTGTCTATATTACGTTAAGAATATCATACTATTTTTTTAAATATATTTTTATAGTTCCATCAGTTCACAAATATGATTATTATTTTCTCTTATTAAGTTATATTAAATATTCATTATTCTTGATAAGTTAACAAATAGCTTTCAATAAAATTATTATTATCATAATAATAAAGTTACAAAGGTTCTTCCTCGAAAAAACAATTGAAGGGATGTAATTTACTTAGAAATAGGGTGAATTACCGTTCCAAATTCAGTCTGAACTAACAAAGAAAGTGGCGTAATTGTTAGACCAAAGATTGGTACGTCTACTACGCCAATATAAAGACAGAAAGGTCTTTGTTATTATTTTATTGAACTGTTGATTGGATCGTGTTTAATATTGACAAATTATTCAGAACGCTGATTAATATTTTACACATTTATTTAAGATCAAGAAATCAACAATAGATATAAAGCAGTCTTTGTCCGAGATTTGAATGGAATTCGTGATTGAAATACTTTTTAGAAAGGGAAACGTTCACGACGATATGACTAATATATTCCATGGGTTCAGCTAATTAGATACTATTTATGTGTTTTACAATTTCATCTTTAAAGTCGGTTTCACTTGAAGAGGCAATAAGCATTTCAATTCGCTTCTATAATGAAAAAAAGTTGAAGTTTTTATCCACTTATTTCTAGAACTTTTATAAACAATCTCAAATTAGGAAAAATCACGTTAGAAAACTTCTATATTTCTATTTGTATTTCAAATTTGAAATCAAGTCAGACATAAGTTATTCTTCTGTGATTCGGAACGGTAGCTATGATCAGAGTCTCAGATGGCACATGATAGATGGGATATTAAAGACATTTGTTTCAACTGTGAACTGAAAAGGGAATAATGCAAATGAACATTAAAGCCAGACTGTTGACGCAAATCATGCACTTATGCATTATGAGTCTCGCGCATATATAAACTTGTTTGCCAAATAAAGCATGATATAGTTTCTTTCTATTATGTAGTTTTATCCGTTTAATACGTCTTTACGTCCCTGAAACTGGACACATGTTTTCTTATATTATCGCTTAATGTGCTTCTTCATCCCAAATCTCAATTACAACCTTCTACATACTTAGATGGGGATACAAATTAAGTCCGAAAACAAAGAAAAGTTTCAAAAAGCCGGATTTAAAGATAATTTTTAATGAGATAACGATCGAAAATAAATTTATTACTATATAAATATAATTTATTTATTGTTCATATCCGCTGACTCAGTGTTCCACGATTGTGCAATATAAGCACTATTATTTCCTTTTAAAGTTATTCGCTAATTTTAAATTCATAAAAAGCATATTTAATAGGTTGTAATTTATATTCTAGCACCTGACCTCCGCACCTAAAGTACTGAGGGTATTATGTATACCCTCAGTACTTCAACATACTGGAATATAAATCTGCAGCTCCAACACTTTTTGTCACGGCCTCTTAGATTATCATTTATCTTTTCAAGACATAACAAATGACATGAATAAGCATGCAAGCGTATTTAATTTCACGAAATCTCGTCACATCACCCGGAGTCGGAGTAAATGATTTAATAAAGTAGGCATAAAGGGACCAACTTGACCTAGGCGAGGCTTATCAGTATAATTTACTGGCAGAGTGACACAATGACGGTTCTGATGGCGTGCAAATTTATATTCATTTGCCGATCCATTTTAAACTTTATTACTTTATTCTAGGCCTATTTTTGCGACTATAATAGGATTACGTCAACAGAATAAAACTTCAAGTGATAATAGAAAATAAATTTCCGTTATGTCGAAAATGTTAATTTCGTGAAAGACATTTCTTTTATAAGCTAACACCCATCTTCATTCACAACGCCTAGAACTTTCTTATTTAGCATTTTCTCCAACCTAATATTATAACCTAATATATATTACCAACCTAATATATATTACCTATATAAAAAGAACAAAGTTTGTATACAAACAAAAATGTTAAATATTTATTCGTGCCGAAAGGCACAGATTTACTAAGGGGTCTAATCTTTTAAACCGATATAAATAGAATCTTACTACGTAATTTCCTCAGATCAAGGTAAACTTTTTTCAATATTCGTTTGTGTTAAAAAGAATCTGACGCTTAGTTTATTATCTACTACCTTTCTCTTCACGATTTCGCCCACGTGAAATCATTTTAAACCAATGTTCACGTTAAAAGCTATATATAGATTCTTATTAGTTCAGATATGAAAATATAACAGACACACGTCTGAATTACTGAATAAATTTTATTGAATATTAGTACACGATTCATATTCATACACGAGTTTCATAGTAAGTGTTTTAAGGAATCTTGTACCACTTGGATTTTCAAGTAAGAACATCCGATAAAGAGCTAGTCGTATTTGGGCACTCCACGCAAATCGGCCCTCCACGCAAATATTAAATATAAAATCGTGAACTTTTTATAGTCAACTACTATTTTTTTTTTATAAATAAATAGACTATTAATATCTGAGCAATAATGTTGAAGATGTTAAGAAGGCGTCGCTTAGAAACCGTCGTTGTTGATTCACTTTGCTGTCACTATTCCTAAAAATAATATATTTATAAACTCTTCTTTATTTTAATACTAACAACATGTCAGCGATAAATAGGTTCAGAGTTTCTTTGTTAGTAAAACTGCTGCAAGTCAGCCTAAAAGGCTCCCTACAAATCCAAACCAGAAAGTGATGTCACTCTTTGCTACGGTAGCGAATAACGTATATGGGTAAATCTTTGTTGTAATAATGAAAGTTGTTACGTTTTATGTTACTAATTTAATGCCATATGTATTTTAGCAAGCTTCTGTTATATATTTTCCCTACTTTTTTCAAGTTAATAAAAGCCTAACATTTTCAAAATTATAGTTTTTTTTTTTGTTAAATACTTATAATTTGAAATGGTGTATATTTTCCGAATATTTAATATAAACATGTATTTTCACTTGTAGGACACAACTAATCATTTGTAAAAAAATTAACAAGCTAGCTTCTGGCTAAAAAGCTATCACGGTGTATGCGAAACTATAGACAATCAGTTGGAGTGACGGACTTTTTATCTTATTTTTACTTTTTGGGTACGGAATCCTAAAAATGAGAAAAATACCTACTTAATAAGTAAGGTTGTGCATAGAGATAAGTCGAAAAGATAAACGCAAGATACTAAATTATAATAATTATTTAGTATGTTTTGTTTAGTAACTCAATTCAGTCAGCATTCTTAACTTGATAATGCTATCGATTTCCTTACTTGAAAACAGCAGGGAAGAACTTGGAAAAAGTTCGTGAACTCAAGGGACGTTGGAATAGGTATTTATTTGCTCGTAGGTTTTAGTCAGTCGTACTTGTTATGTCTCAACACACAAAACGTCATATGTCTTATAATGCTATTATGTTCGCCGAATGTATATCATAATAAGATTGAAGTTCGACTGATCAAGTTCCTTGTTTGTGTTGTGAATAATATTGATGTAAGTGAAAGGACAAATTAATATCGTGTTACTATTTGGCGTCGTCATCACAGTCGCCGCGATCTCGATTCCCGGGGGCTTATTGCGAGTTTAGTGAGTTAACACTCGCTCTCGTGCTCGTTAGTATTTTAATGTTAAAATAAATTTGTAATATTTGATAATTACTGTTGTGATGTGATGAAAAGAGATGTTTTGCATATAACAAAAAGGGTTACATACAAATCATCTAGTGAAACAAATAAAAAGGGAAGGGAAGACTTAACAATAGATGGATAGACTGTTTGAAATGTGCTATGCGTAAGAAAGTATTAAATATTGAGATCACTGATCGATACGTATGGAATATCGATACATATTGCCCCGATCTCAAATAAATAATTTCGAAAACGGA